CTACAAATGATATTGAAAAATATAGTCAATCTTTTGGTGGTGTTGTAATTCGGTAGGTATTAGGTTAGGTTAGGTTAAGCCGTTGATTCCGGAAGCATCTACAGCTACCAATACACTGAGATCGCGCGACCGGTGGGCCATGGCCAAGTCTCCCAGTTCAAAGATAGGGAAGCCTGTGTTTCTGCAGTGGGGACAATTATTGGGTCATGGTAATAAGATGATAAAAATTCAAAATTCAATATCGTTTATTCAGTCTAGGCTGTTACAAGCACTTGTGAATGTCGAAAAGCTACGCCATCGATTCGCAAATCTACGGCAGGAGACCTTGTACTGAATAGAACCGGCAAGAAACTCAGCAAGGGCTGTTTTCTTTTCTCCCTTTATTATATACAGAGTCGTCAAATTGAAAAATGACTTCAATGAGGTAACTCATAAAGTCACTTTCCATTACAAATGCAAATAATATAAAAATTATGACTATAAAATAAAAATAAATATATATAAAAAACTGGTTTAATAAAGTTTAGGAATGCCGTGTCCTACTGTTTAGGCAAAAAAAAAATTAACGATGAAAGTTTAGTACAACGATTAATAGTACCTAATGAAGCAAGAGCAGACTCATCTCCGCTGGCAGCACCCGTTCACGAGCATGACGCATGAACCAGCCATCGCTTCGCTTAACCATTCTTTAGAGAACGCAATGATCCGCCTCACACGATAAATTATGAATGTTCGGGTTTTCAAGATTGGCATTTAGTTTCTTACAACCAGGATCAGGAGAGCAGTAGCAAAAAGAAGGAAGAAGAAGAGGACGATATAGGACAGTAGAAAATTTAGAATGATTTTGGATGTTTATATTTCTTTTATCATCATCAGCCTATTAATGTCCCCACTGCTGGAGCACAGGCCTTCCCTATGGACGGAATATGGAGATTGGACCATGACCTACCATACGGACCCAGTGCGGATTGGCGGGTGCCGACTGCAGATGCAGACGGGGCCAACGGCTTAACGTGCCTTCCGAAGCACGAAGGAACTCAAGATAGAAGATTTTTGGTCACCCATCCATTGACCGACCATTGCGAAAGTTGTTAACTTCAACGATCGCAGCCGAACGCGCTAACCACCTGCGCCATCGAACTCCTCACTATATTTCTTTGTCGTGTCAATATTTTTTTTCCTAATTCTTTTTGATTTTTGAAGTAGATAAGACAAAAGCTGCTCCGTACTTTTCACGATTATTTGGTAATGCAAAGTATGAACAATCTCAGTACAATTTATTCGCACGAGAAATTATTTGATATCAAGTTCGTTTTTTATCACAATGTTCGAATTGATTTCGAATAGACAATATTCAATTCAATATTGTTGACGAAATATGAGTAGGTATTGAAGTTTGGAACGCAAAAGGCTTTTAATCAAGTACCTACATAAATATTATTTAGGTGAAACTCAAGTACTCAATTATTCATCCATTTTTATAGCTTCGCAAAGTGCGTAAAGAAAATTAATATTATAATTATAATAATAATAAACGTTTATTGACTTAAAGCAAGTAATAATATACAATATTTTGAAATTAATAATACAAAAATTGGTGACAAGAGGCACATTGGAGCTTAAATATTGTTAAAGGTGACTTCTGTTGCCAGTGGTAGGAAAACCTGTATTACAGGCAACGGAGTCTCCTCTATGTACGTAAATACTGTAGCCGATTTAGGTGTGCGCACATTGGTTGTATGATTACTTATATCTTTATATATATAATTCTTCTGTGAGTGTGTATGTCACTGAACTTCTCTTAAACGACTGGACCGATTTTGATGAATTTTTTTGTGTGTGTTCAAGGGGATCTGAGAATGGTTTAGATTCACAATTTTGTCCGGTGGACAACCTCTATTTTTTAGGGCGGTACGAAGTTCGCTGGGTCAGCTAGTAGATATATATACTAGTTATAAAAATTACAGAATCCGACAATAACTAACTGCTGCCGTATTTTTACACAATAAAGTGTTCTAATTATTTACTAAACACTCCGTCTCTTCGTAATCCATACCTTTCAGCCATTTGCTAACTTTTATTAACTTTTATTATGATGTAGTCGTCAAGATGTTGCATTTTTTTTAATGCAAGGCTGAGTAAATTGTTGCGAGCTCGATGGCTAATATTGATACCTGTTGACATGAATTGTATGTATTTTTTAGCATTTCAATACAACATCGTACAGGGTAACTAGACAACCAAATGACTAAATTTGTATAACATATGTATGAGGAGCTGGCGAACAAAACGGTACAATTACGCATCTGGTCAAACTACTTTTTGTTACAGTCCGGAGGATTCAGACCCGTTGAATTTGAATCTCAAATAATTTTCAATCGAAACCACCTAAAAAAGTGTTAAAACTACTCAAAATAATTAAAAACCATGTCAACAGCTCACTGTAGATACACACTTCAAAAAAAGTTTGCGATCACTTTGAAAAATAGATTGCTTTTTGTGTTACGGAAGACTATTTTGTAATTTATTCTTCTGATAAGATTCTAAATTTTAAAATTAGAATTAGAACGTAAAAGAATAAAATAATTCAATTGTTTTTCCATATAAAAAGACATGCAATCCAAGCTGACACTCATTCAGAAATCAGTACCCTTAGTACGAGTTTTGCAATTACGAAAACTATGATAGTTTTCGTGAGCTCGCACTCGTACTAAGGGTACTGATTGTATTGTTTTCGTTTCAATAAAATATAACAGTGTTTAAATTCTATGATTAAATCATTTGCGTCTTCTTAAATTTTAAGTATATTTGGTAACTTTTCACCAAAATGGTCATAGAAACAATTTACAATTACGAAAACTATGATAGTTTCCGTGAGCTCAAACTCGTACTAAGGGTACTGACTTAGTCAATATTATCGAATTTAAAATATTCTTTCACAGAAAGTTGTGATTTAAAAAATGCCGCGAGGATTGTCAGGTGTTTTACAAGCCAGAATTGTAACTTTGAGGGAAGAAAGGCTATTTATTCTACGAGAGAAATAGCACGCTGAGTTGCCATATCCCAATCCTGTATAGTAACCACGTTGCAGAGGTACCACGGCATGGGTAATTTAGCTGATCGACCCCGCAGCGGTCGCCCAACAGTTTTGACAGCTGCTCAGAAGCGCTACATTAGGTTGCTGGTAGCCCGCGACCCAACAATAAATGCCACTAAATTAAAAGCAGAAATACGGGCCGCTTCCGGACTTGAAGTTAGCACTCACACCATTCGGAATTGCTTACATAAGGCTAGATTACGAGCACGGAGGTCTTGGCGAGCACCTTTGAATTCACGAGAACGTCAGCGACGGAGGTTACAGTGGGCTAGGCTCCGGCAAAACGAAGAAGACGAAAAGGAAAAAAACTTGGCAAAACTGCCTCTTCGTTGACGAATCGCGAATCAGTACTCATCCAGATAACCGACGTGTCCATATTTGGAGACTCTGAAAGGCAAAGAACAGCTACTGGAACGGTTAAGCAAGGCGGAAAATCAGTGCCCTTTTGGGGTGGTATTATGATTGGGGCTAGAACGCCTTTAGCTCCTTATCAAGGCTTCATGATGGCAGACAGATACAAAACAGTCGCTATTGATGGAATCGTCAGACCTTTCCGAGTAAACTATGGGCACCAATTTGTACTGGTTGACGATAATGCGCCGGCACATCGAGCTCAACTAGTCAATGCTGCTCTCCAAGAATACGAAATCACAATGTTAGACTGGCCTGCCGGCTCTCCTGACTTAAACCCAATAGAGCAGCCGTGGGATGCTCTTAAGCGAGCTGTTTGGAACCGGCAGCCGCCACCCCAGACAGTGCCGCAGCGCAGGGAAGGTGCTGTTCAAGAATGGGACTGGTTACTGCAAGAAATGCTGGATAACTTGATTTTCAGCATGCCCAGGAGGATCTCCGCATGTGTTCGAGCCAGAGGAGCAGTTATTTTGTATTAGATAAACAATAATTTATTAATAAAAGGTTTTTAAGTTTTGTTAGACCATCTTTTTTATTTCTATCAAAGTTCTATTACTATTAAATTTTGTTATTATTTTAGTGTTGGACATATTTATTTACTATTATTATTATTATGTTATTATACCGTTTTGTTCGCCAGCTCCTCATATTATAAATTTTATTTACTAGGTCCATGGAAGCAATCGCGTAAATTATTTAAATTACTATAATTATATTTTTTTTTATTAATTATGGGGGAATTTTCTCCTATGTTATACCTAATAGAACAGTGTTTGTATTTATACTGTATGATACAGCAATAAAAATGTGAGTGGGCGTTGTATTGGTAGCTTTAAGTTTATTTTTGTTAATGTTGCTATTTCCGTTAAAAGCTGATGAGTTTCTTGCGTCTATTCTTCTCATCAGCTAGAACATGTCCTGAATGGGTGGTAGGAAAAAATATTGGACGATTCAAAAGAGCATTCATTAAGTGAATTTGAATAAAGCATAATTTCATTTCATGTCATTTCATAAAAGGGTTTGAAATGTCAAAATATTCATTACATTCGTATGAATGAAGTTACGATGTAGGCGCCCTGATAACTAGTTTCTTATACAACTGTTTGGTTCGCCGTCACAGGAAGTAACCTTAATTTCAGACTTTTCCTGTGGACTGGATGTTATTTCCCGTGACAACACTCGCATTTAAGACGACAATCCGCTGTGCTGCCTTACCTTCCCTTAAATAGAAAAAACCTTTTCAGAGTGTGAGTGAGTTAGCTAAAATTCCAAACAAATTTTTCTTTGTGTTATTCTTAAACTCGTCTATAGAAAAATGATAAAGAATTCCTTTCTACGTAAGGTAAATATATTATGGTTTTAAGCTATTGTATAGCTTTTATCGCGGCCTTTGAGCGTGGCAACCGAATCAAGAAATTCCGTAACGAAAAAGACCTTACAAGAGTGCACATACCAATAGAACACAAATTTCGCCATTCCAGTATCAATCTAAATGGGACATTGTGTTAAATCTTTGCCACGGTACCAACGTTTGACGCATCACCGCGGTTGTCGGTTTAAATCCCGCACTCGTATTTTGAATTTTTTATTATTATTTTTCCTGGTAAACTGTGGAGCTTATGGAAGTTTTTTGGCGCCGGGCAATGCTGTTGTTTGCTGTGCTTGGCCAATAAAATATAATAAGGCCTGCCTCGCCATCCCGAAAAAGTCGCGTGTCAGCAAAGACTGGATATCACCGAACTGCAAGAAGAGCACACGCAGGGGTGACAACACGCATACGCCTGTAAAGGGTATCAGCGAATTTTCCGAGCCCGAAAAACCGGTTGCTGCACGGGAACCCGTTGACCTGGCCAGTGGCTCTTCAAAGGAAGATGAGGTCCAGGGTAAGGCCAAGGAGAACGCCGCCGGAAATAATCACACCAGTGATATAAAAAGTTTGCTGGCCGGGGGACAGTCCCATACAATTAAATTTTCCACAAAGAAAGTAAACACTGTTTCTTCATATGGCAGTAGGTGTCGCTGAATGAATTTTAATGTATTTATTAATTTTTATATGGCAATAATAGACAAGCAATCAAAAATTATTAATTATCATAATTATTTTATTTTACTAAACACACAAAATAAAAACAATGCTTTTATTTAAGTAAAAGCATAATACAGCCATTTCTTTTATAAAAAATAAGTGCCCAAAACCATACATACCAACCAACATAAACTTGAATTAAAACATATTTTAAAAAATAATTGTTTAACCTTAATAATAAACAGTTGGTGTCGGTCCATCAATCGGATTTTATCTGGGAAGTTGACATACTCTGGAGATGATGAATGTAAGAAAGTAGCTCAAGAATATTATTATAAACATAGGAATTATAAAAAAATAAAAAAATTCAAAATATATTTACATACTAGAGGTCGCCCGCGACTTCGTCTGCGTTAAATTAATTTCTTGTAAATCCCTCTGGAACCTAACATTTTTCGGGATAAAAGTAGCCTATGTGTTAATCTAGGGTGTCAGCTAACTCCATACCAAATTTTATTAAAATCGCTCCAGCCGTTTAGACGTGAAGAAGTAACAAACATACACACTCACATACTCACACACTCAGAAACTTTCGCCTTTATAATATTAGTGTCATTTTACGCTATTGCTGTGGTTTCGCTATTTACTTTTCAAGGTCTTATTAAGGGTGATTTTGTTTTTTAATTTTCATACAGCCTGCAGACCATTCTTTAAACAGCTTAAGCTGCTGACGCTACCTTGCGTGTACATTTTTGAGGTTTGTGTGTTTGCCAAAACTAGCCCCGAGTTATTTAAAAAGAAAAATTACTGCTTTAGTTTTAACACTAGAAACCCTAATACCCTAGTTCTTGCTCAAAAAACTACGGCTCTGTACCATTGAAATACGCCAAAAAAATACTTAAATCTTCATGAAACATAATTAGATCGACGCAGAAAAAAATCTGATTCAAATAATATAGGTATATAACACATTTCGACCAAAGTGGCGCATAAGCGATTTTGCCTTTCCACTGTAGATATTCTTAGTTATGATTTAGACGTGCGCTAAGAAAGGGTAAAGAAAGTTTGTATGAATTTAATAAATTGAAGAAATTTAATATTTCCCCGCAGACGAAGTCGCAGGCACCCACTAGTTTTATAATAAACATAAAGAAAACATTCCTGCGCTCGTCTTTCGATCTAACCATTTGTCACTGAACGTTTAAATTTGTACGTGACTCGGCGATTTCGTAACATTTTAATCCTGAGACAAATGCAATTAAGCTCTTTCTCAGAAATTGACTAGAAATCAAATTAACTGTTATTTTTTTGCTGCCTTTTTAGGTTTGTTTTTTTTTTACTTATTTTTTGTTTCCTGGGTGGTGTATGTGGCCTTTGTTGTATCTCTATAATGTCAGCATGGACAATTACAGAGCAGCATAGCTATTCTGTAAGATGCAATCTCACTTTCGATCTCATTTATTCAGATTTCTGACAAATGTCAAATTTCGAATACTGGCTGCTTTTACAGGCATAGCGACATTTTGCTGTGTAATGGCGTAATGCATTTCAAACTAATGTCTAAAGTTGCTGCTACCTAAATCGGAAGTGAGATTATATTTTACAGAATGGCCCTACAGTTATCTGTAACAAAATAACGAGCCGAATTTCGAGCACAAATCTCGGCGTATTTTGCAATCAGATGTTTTTAACTTAAGACATTTGCTTACTTTTCGTTGAAATGTGGGCCATGCTATCACAGGCACTTGGATTTAGCTCAATGAAGTGATATATCAATTGGGTATTTTGCTTGTAAAACCTTTGTAATGAAACGTCGAAGACCGTGCATCGAGTCCCTCTTGTGTGGGTGATAAATTAAGCTATTTATTAGTAACTAGTGAATTATATAGTCAATATACTAATCTGTATAATTCATATCTCTGGAAGACGCTGTCATAAGCAGGCTAACTGAGTCCAGTTAATACCTAAGAAATAAAACTTGCTTGCTAGTTTGAGACGGAAAAATCTTAATTCCGAAAAGGAACTTTGCCCCAATAATGTAGAAGTTGTGAACCTTGACACAGTATGGCGTGACGATATGTATTGTACCTATACTTATATTATAAAGAGAAAAGATTTGATTGTTTGTTTGTATTGAATAGGCTCCAAAACTACGAGACCAATTTGAAAAAAATTTTACTTAAGAGTATTGTCATAAAAGTAAGGGGAATCCTTACTTACTTATTTGAAAACTTCCATAATGAAACCAAACGTCGAAAAAGTGTGGAAAAAATACCAAAAAATAACCTTTGATGTACTATAGTTTTATAGAGGACATTTACAAAAAAGTCCGTAATATCATATGTCTAACTATTACAGTTTTGTCAAAACAAGAGATTTCCTGCGGTTTCAGCCGCGTTAATTTGAGGAAAAAAGGTTATAGTGAGTCAAACTTAAAATATAATGAGTTCGATATCTTTGTTATGTCTAGAATTAAGTAATTTATTGTAAACTGATATTCAATAAACATTTATTATTATTATTAAACTTAAAAGGGGGACATATGCTGTCGTGGACTTTTTTCAAAGGGAAATAAATCACAGCGCACATACCGGAAGCTCACAAATGGAACATTTTTACCCGTTTTTGGATAATTTTTCATCAATGCTCCACTCCTACTGGTCAAAGCGTGATATTATATAGCCTATAGCAGTATAGTCTACACAGAAGCGAAGCAAGAGCCACTATCTACATACATATAATAAAATGGTAGGAAAATCAAAACTTTACATTGAATATTTTTGAAAAGAATACTTGGGGTGTGATCTACAATCGATACCGGAGGCAAAAATATGGTTTTTAGAATTTTTGTCTGTTTGTCTGTATGTATGTCCGGGATAAACTCAAAAAGTAATTAAACTCTGCATGGATTTACTTCAAATTTGGCACGAATATTATTAAGAAGTCGGGTCAACATATAGGCTACATATTATCACGCTATCGCCTACGGGGAACGAGCAGTGAACCTTGTGAAGTCACGGGCGGCAGCCAGTAATGAATAATTTCGTCCGCAGAAATGCACCGGCGCCCGTGGCTCCCAGGAGTCTGGCGGCGTGGGTTTAGGGTCGACCTTCGCTCGCACTCTGCCGCCGGCCTACAAGGTCAGCAAGTCTGTGGTGGCGCTCCTGAAGGCCTTCGGATGGTCCAAGTTTGCCATCGTGGTCGGGGACGCTGTCACCGCCGCTGCTCAGCAAATGGCTGCTATCAAAGTAAGTAAATAAATAAATATTTTCAACACTCACACCAATTAACCTAGCCCCAAAATATGCACTACCTATAAGGCTTGTATTATGGTATACTAGGGTAACGGATTGAATACATATACTGTACATTTATAAGTATATTTTTATAGAAATATATGTTAAACATCCATGACTGGAGTGCAAATGCTCGTATTCATCACACAAACATCTGCACCCAACGGGATTTGAACCCGGGACCTCTCGAGTTGGCGACACCATGAAACCCGGCGTACGAACCACTCGGCCACGGAGGTCTTCGATGTAACTTTTTAATGCGTTTATTAGTATTTGTTATGTGGTTATTTGTCAGTACTTGCCATATTTGATTGGAATGAAAAGGAGCTGTTGTCAAGTTTAGAAATAGCAGATATGAATAGCAACATGTAGTGCCGTTATAAGAGAGATAAGTTGTATTGCAGCACTGCGTATAATATATTATATGGTATGTTAGTAATATTGAGGGTAAACACTATGGCATCCAAGAGTTTATTTATATAAATAACCGAGTGTCAAGCAATATGTTACGATTGAAGCATTTTAAAAATCCAAGTTTTCTATCAATTTCTCAAGAATTAAAGTTATATATATTTAAACATTGACAACTAAAAATTTTACTAGAAGAAAATCCACACGAAACAGGCAGCAGACGGGCGGATGTACTGACCATTATTCTACCGCGGCCCTTATAGCCGTGTCGAATTCTTTCTAGTATCTCTAGTTTTTTTATTCTACTAAAATTTTCTTTATTTCTAAGTTAGTTAATTAATTGATTTTCTTTCCGCTTTTATTGTCGATAATTATTTCATTGGTTTCTATCAAACTCATCAAAAGACAACTGACAAAATCATGAATTGTATGTAAAATAAGAAATAATCATTGTAATTCTCCAGGTCCTATTAAAAATTCAAATTCCAATCCTCACTTGGGTAGTAGTTTTTTTCACCAGTACATTTTTTTTGTCTTTGCGACGGGAAAAATGATTATACTGAGAAAATTAAATGCATCGTTAACTTTATGATTTATCGGATTTCACGATAAAGTACCTACAATGGCATCTCGTAAAATTTTACTATCATCTTTGTAGATAAGAGCTGATCAACGATTTTGTAACAAAGAAAATTTATTATTTCTCAAATAACTTTACAAAACTTTTAAAGAAAGCACTTGTCTTGTCGTGAAACTTTCAGCTTTTAATTAAACGGTGTGTCAAGTCTGTTATGATGGATCGTCATTTGTCATTTCACTTTACTAAAGTTTCTCGATAGATTATATCTAATGGTAAATCTAATTTTTTTGCCATTTTTATTTATCTTAGACACAAAAAAAGAAAATTCTTAGCGGGTACGATTTATTGTCTGTCTGAGAAGTTCATTATTTGGTTTTTAAATTGAAAGTTACATTTTACAGCATTTTTTTCTTTATCTTAAAAATCATAACTTATCAACAACCATCGGTAGTTCAGTGATAGATAGCTCGCCTGCCACGCGGAGGCCCGGGTTCGATTCCCAGTCGAAGAAGGACTTGTTTTTAATTAAATTTTAAAAGTTTTACAAGCATCGTGTTTTTTTCTTTATCTCTGAAAGTAATACTAATAATACCTTAAAATTTATGACAGGAATTCGCCCAGTCAAATGGAATGGTAGTCACTACGGAGCAGAGTTTCGCCGACTACATACCGCTGCACATCTCTGAAATGGAAAGAATCGTCGACCAGACATATGACAAGACTAGAGGTAAGCACTTAAATCTATATATATAAAACTCAAAGGACTGACATAGGGATCTATCAACGCACAGCCCAAACCACTAGACGGATCGGGCTGAAATTTGGCATGCAGGTAGATGTTATGACGTAGACATCCGCTAAGAAAGAATTTTGATCAATTCTACCCCCAAAGGGATAAAATAGTGAATGAAAGTTTGTATGAAACTATGTCAATTTTAAACCGACCAGGCTGAGACTTTCCATGCAGGTATAAGAAGAATCATAGATGAATGTCATTGTGTATAATACAAGCCTGAGAACATGAACTGTAGTCTACACCGAAGCGAAGCGAGGACGGGCCGCTAGTTATATATATTTTTTGTAAAAGCTTTGAGTGCGTTTGCGACAGTGTGGTCTAATAAATAAATAAATAAATATTTTCAACACTCACACCAATTAGCCTAGCCCTAAAGTAAGCACTTTAAGGCTTGTGTTGTGGGATACCAGGGTAGCGGATAAAATACATATATTTTACATATTATTATAAAAGTATACTATAATAGAAATACATATTAAACATCCATCACACAAACATCTGCCCCCACCGGGATTCGAACCCGGGACCTCTCGAGTCAGCGACACCATGAAACCCGGCGTATAAACCACTCGGCCACGGAAGTCGTCATAATAAGATGTCCAGATTATATTGGTCCGGGAAAACAGACCTCGGCAAGGAGTTCCACTCCCTAGCCGTTCGCATAATGAAGGCCGAAGCAAATCGCTTCGTGCGAATGAGAGGAACTTCTTTCTTTTTAAGAAGGGAAAGGAAAAGGGTGTCGTGTGGAAGGGGTTTAAGCATAAATTTGTTGTTAGAGAAGCTATTTGGCGAGATTGCATAACTCAACTTGATCCTGACACGAGAGCTGTTGCGACACTCGTGAGTATCGCATCAATCACCCAATGTACCGCCCACAAGGAAATTACCAAAATCATATTGAAGCCGATTTTGGCTTAATATATTTATACACTGTGAATTTTGGGCTACGTGAGAAACTTTGATAGCTAATTAAGATAACGAATTTAGGTTATATACCGTTTTTTTTTGTTGCGGATGTAATTTTTTATGTCCAGATGTGAGAACATTCCTGACATAGTGGAAATGTAGATAGCTATCTATCGGTTTATCTAAGCCGCGACTTCTGATTGCTTTTAAGAGCTTTTAGTCATAATCGAAAAGGCCAGAGACCTATAATAGCTAAAAGAAAGGATGTCTCTGAGGTAGGTTACAATTGATGATCTAGCACTTTACGCTCTCGAATGATTAATTGTCCATATGCTTCCTAATTGCTAAGCATTTTTTTTTACAAATTAATCTCTGCTCAACTTGGTTTTTGTTTGATAAATCTTGACCTAAAATTATGGCCGTGTCGAATTTTGTCTAGCACTTCTTAGGCTGCAAGGCAGCGCCATCTCTTCGCATTGTAGGTAACCACAATAGTAGGTGACCCCACGAGTCCCGTCTGATGCCTTTTCCGCGTGGAATATTTTCAAGTAAAATTTTCTTTACATTACAGTATCTAGCAGTTAAATGCTTAAAAAACTATTATTGCTATTTCTTCTTTCAAAAGTTTAATTATTATAAAGGTATTCATTTGACATTATTGGTTACCTACAATGCGAAGAGATGGCGCTGCCTAACAGCCTAAGAAGTGCTAGAGAAAATTCACACGGCCATCAGTGCCGCGGTAGCATAATGGTCAGTGCATTCGCCCGGACAGCGAAGGGTGCGGTTTCGAGTCCCGTCTGCTGCCTGGTCCACGTGGATTTTTATCTAGTAAAATTTTCTGTAGATTTAAATGATGAGTAAATTATATTCCTTTATTTAATCTCACAAAGTAACAATTTAATTTCTAAATAATTAATGTTTAAACATTAAGAAGTCTCCATACACAATCAACACAACAACTAATATAAATAAAAAAACATCCAATTTATATGAATTAGTCACGTCCAAAAGGAATATGAACCACCGATATACATTAAAGAACCGTTACACAGTAAACGTTACTGTAATCTCGTATACACAGGCGGGACCATGGCAACGTCGTGAAAACTGATGCGCAATCCAGTTAGCCAAGGAAGTCGTAAAATATCCCTATCTTTACTCACAAATTTTACGTTCCGTTTAACCCTAGTTCCAAAGTTGATGTTGTTAACCTTGACCGTAAGGCAGTTTGTCTACCGTCTTCCTCACCAGAACATCACCAAGAACGAAATTATTTCTATATGAAATCGAGATGACAGGCCCGTCAGGCCTGCTGTGAACAAGCGACGATAGTAAGTGTCGCCGCACACGGGCCACCGACCACAACCACAAAACACCGCCACCGGCATATTTCTTGTAGTTTTCATACATTTTACATGGACTCGCCACACACGGTACGCCGGTGGCCGCCACGCGCTACAAATCGTCGTTGCTCGCTTCTTGTGGCCCGCACCGGCCACTTAATGCGCCGATACAAAACGCCGCCACACGTCACTCGCGCGATTCCCCACCCCTCTCTCCCTTACCTTAGTCGGCCGCTGTCGCGCGCTTCAACCACTTTAGTAGCCGCTTCTAGCTTCTCGTGGCGGAGTTTGTGGCTGTGGCGTGTGGCCCGTGTGCGGCGACACTAAATGTTTTTGTCGCTACTTCGGCGCCGTCATCTCGTTCCCGATGACGTCCCGCTGACAAATCGAAATATTAACATAGATCCCGACTAAATCATTGATCTCAACATTGGCATTGGGAATTGGGCGTTGGTTGTCGGAATCCAAACGTTTGCAATCCGTCCTCATATAATTACCACCGACCTTCATTGGAACGTCTCGAGCATCCCTAAGGCCCCGTTGTTTTTTCAAGCAACCGGCCCAGTGTGTGCAAAGAATATTAAGGCTTCAGCCACAAAAGTGTCGATCAAATTTGAACGTATACAATTATCTGTGGCGTCATTTGCTCGGACTTCTTTACAAAAAAGTTACTGCTTATCGCATTTGGCCATCTATGAAGGATGGTGTATAACTAGTGTATTAATATTTTGGCTATCTACCACCGACGCGATTAGGTTAATTAAATTAATACTTCCAACATCTTTTAGCCTAGGCAAAAAGTAAGCACTGTAGGCTTGTGTTATGGGATACTAGGGTAACTGATACATATATAAATACCAGCTGACCCAGCGAACTTCGTACCGCCATAAAAAACTAGGGGTTGGTGGTGAAAATTAAGGGTTGTATGTATTTTTGTTTGATGTATCATAATAAAATAAAAATTTGACCAAAAGCAATTAAGGGAAGACCACCGTTAACATTTATGATGATGATGATATGAAAAATAGATGTTGTCCGATTCTCAGACCTGCCCAATATGCACACAAAATTTCATGAGAATCGGGAAAGCCGTTTCGGAGGAGTTTAACCACAAACACCGCGACACGTGAATTTTATATATTAGATGTTAAACGTCCATGACTGGAGTACAAATGCTCGTATTCATCACACAAACATCTGCCACCACCGGGATTCGAACCTCTTGAGTAGGCGCCACCTTAAAAACCGGCGTACAAACCATTTGGCCACGGAGGTCATCGTCGTATATTACTTGCATAGATCCTAACTTGTCTCTAAGCTTGGTGAGCGTATAGATAAGTATACAGATAAGCTATGCAAAAACAAGTTCATTTTACGCATAAAAACCGTCATCGGTACTCCTTTAGATTCAGTATTATTGTAACGGAATGGTCGTCTACATAAAAAATGACATTAGCTCGTCGCTCTCCCTTGCTTTTACTATTCACCTACGTAAAGAAAACACACACGTAGACAAGTACCTATAATACTAAATTATAACTATAATTGCTATTTCTTCTTTCAAATGTGTTTTTTTGTTCCTAAATGGCTTCGCACGACTTGTGCATTTAGCCAATGTCAAGTGTTAAAAATGTTTACAAATTCTATAGCACTCGTGGTCAAAGTATTATATCAAGCTAAGTAAATGGCAGTCAAGTCCATCCCCCTTTCCCTATGTTTCAGTAAATATGTGGGGATTTACTGGAACCTCCCCGTGGACTTCTTGAGGGAACGTCGAAAGACACTTTCCGCTATTTTGTTTCACTTGCCAACACTTGTGCATGTTCCCGAACACTTAGTGGTTAATAATCCACCATTATTAGAAACTAACATCCGCCACAATACAATTTTTAACAAGAAAAACAAAACTACTAGTGACGCTTTCCGATCCCGCCAAAACAAACTTCAAATGTTTAATACTTGTAAAAGTATTCATTTGACATTGTGGGTTACCTATAATGCGAAGAGATGGCGCTGCCTTCCAGCTTGAGAATGGCTAGAAGAATTTCGACGCGGTCCGTGAGGGCCGCGGTAGCATAATTGGTCAGTGCATTCGCCCGGATTGCGAAGGGTGCGGGTTCGAGTCCCGTCTGCTGCCTGGTCCGCGTGGATTTTTTTCTAGTTATATTTTCTTTACCTACAATGATTTTGGATCAGAATGTTAGGTTCTCGAGGAGCTCGATGGGTAAGTGGTTAGCGCGATGGCTGCGATCGGTGAAGTTAAGCAACTTCCGCAGAGGTCGGTCATTGGATGGGTGACCAAAAATTTACTTCGCCGTGCTTCGGAAGGCACGTTAAGCCATTGGTGCCGGCTGCAACTGCAGTTAGCTATTGGTTAGCCTACCTACCAAACCGCACTGGGCCCGGGTGGTGGGTCATGGCCCTATCACCCTATTCCATCCATAGGGAAGGCCTGTGCCCCAGCATTGGGACATTAATAGGCTGGTGATGATGATGATGTGTAAAGTTCTCTGTATGTTGGCCACAAAATAGAAATCCTTGCGATTTTTTTCAGTTGGGTTGTTTTGTGCAGAAACATCTGGGAGGAACTTTAAATCTTTGGCACGTTCTTTATAGGCGAAAATGTCGAGATTTCTTTTTCAAGTTAAAAGGTTATCAATCAATCATATGTCGCGCCTG